CATAATAAGGCCACGCTCGGCAAGTGCCACAAGGAACACATGGAAGAAGCAAGATGAAAACGGCATATGCCGGTAACTCGTGCCTACCGGATATTAGGTTGGAGGTAGGACGACCCTAGAAATAGGACCCTTAATCCGTAAAATAACGAGAACACTCAGTTCAACAACAACAACAACGACCACTGTACCGTTACTAATGTTTGTACTGTGCTGAACCCTACCCCGCGCCCATGACAGGATACGGTTGGAGCCATCGATTGATGGCACTGCATCACGTGGAAGAGACTGTAGACTTGCTTCGCAGTCGTATCATGGATGCAATTGACCGTCGGCTTGATTCGAGCTCAAAAGGGCAGTCGAGCGAGTCTCTTCCATGTCTCTGAACGTACGACGGCGACTCATCGATAGCTACGACTGCCTATGACTTGCACTCAGCTCTATCGTGGTGGTTTGTGGTTGCCACGGTCGCGGATAGGCACCAAGTCCGGACAGGCTACCGATTCTCGTAGGTCCTCACAGGCAAGGCGTTCAACACCGACTAGACATGCATCTAAACGAAACGATGCACCCGCTGCGATCTTCACGCAACTTCACGCCACATGAGAACCATGCGCTCGCAGACGTCTCGTGGGGTCGCAGCGACTAAAGCGTCTGGACAGCACTAGGAGCGCCGTACCGCGCGCCGCTGCATCTACACACGTTGCCAATGATCTCAGGGATGTACATGTGACTAGGAGACTGAATTCGCTGTTTTGAGCTTGAAAGTGTTTTAGAGTGCCCACATTGGTAAACAGATTTGTATGCTTCAAACACGAGCATCCTCGCAAAAGCCGCCTGACGACAGGAATTCGCGCAGCCAGCTCGCGACTGTACGTACTCGAGCCGTGGAATGCGCTTGTTGAGGTACTTGATCTGGACGCGATGCGCACGCGCCGTGAGCGGCCCTCCGTAGGCCTTGTCGATCTCGAGCCGCAACGACGGTGGGATTGCCTCGGGTGCGCGAATGGTGTCCAAGGCTCGACGCGAATACCAATCGCGCCACGTCATGCCCTTCAAGCCGAGCGCGTGGCGGCACACCGTGAAGACACCTCGCTGGCTGAAGGCTTCTCGCTGCCCATCATCGAGAGGTTGGCATAGCATTTCGAGCAGGTCCAACTGCACCGCCTCTTCCGTTTCATAGCGGCGCCCCTTGTGCTTGTTGCCATCAGGTTTGGAGATCCACGCCCGATATGCGTAGCGTCGCGTTAGAGTCTCGCGCGTGATCGAACCTCTGAGCGCGGACCGCTGATCCGACGGCGGAGACTCAATGTCCCGCGGCAAGACAGCACCTTGGTCGATGGGTCGAATGGCGTCTGCTTCGCCTGGCAGCGTCCATGCCGCCCCGAACTTCTGGCGTCCGGCTAGCAGAGTTTCATCGCGACTGATCACGTACGAGCCGTATTTGAGCTTGGTCTTGTCGCGCTTCACTTCCTTTATATAGGGTCGGTACTTGCGCTTCTTCGCGCAGTACGTAACGCCGCATTGGCCGCTCATTTTCAAATTTCACGCGTGCGAGTCATCGCAGGCATCCGGTTAATTTAAGTATACGGTAAATGTCGATAATCACGGCTAAATATCGTAAATGTGGCTGCCTCCGAGGCGGGTAACTTCAAGCCGCACAACTGCCGCTCTCCAAACTCCAATAAGGCATATCGCACCATAGTCTTGTTGCTCGTGGTGGGGAGAACCCATTTCTGCCTGGGGCCGTCCGTTTTCTAGTCCTAGTTTCTATATATATAGGTTTAGCGTACCGAGGCTGTTATAATAAATGAACCCCTACCCCGCTAGGAAACATGTTGTCGACACATTGTACATGTAGAGCATACTACAGTATTTATGTACCCTAGCATTTTTCAGCTATCGAAGGCCCCGATTACGAGGCCCACGTGGGTACACGCCGTGGCTATCACAGCCGTGCCTGCTACAAATTGTACATATTTGTATGCTTCAAACACTCATGAAACTTGGTAAGGGCCGACGTGAAGTCGTTTTCTGTTTTTGATCCGGTTGGTTTCGTGAAGGTCGAGAAGCTCGTCTCGTTCGGCAACGACGCAGTCCAGAGCCCCGTCAAGTTGTACGACTTGTTTGTCGAAACCCCATGGACCTCAACATCGAGTACGGGCTGAATAAGCAGTACGTCGTTGCAAATTACCCCAACTTCGACGCTAAAGACTTCTTCAGACCCACGGTACCATGACCAAGGCGTACCCAACGCCATCGCCCTCCTCAAGATTGCCGCCACTCTGGCTCATGGCTCCGTCGACGCTTTCTCGTTCCAGAACAACATCAAGTCCAAGGATCGTTCCAGCGTGTCCATCGCGCATCTCAACGACTTCATTATGGTGGTCGATCAGGATGGACCGTCGCTCGAGCATTTCGACACCAAGGACAGCGTGATGCGCTGGTTGTCGGCCATGAAGCGTCCCTTCAATTAATCGAATTCGACGGGGAAAATGCAGAAACTAATTAGGCGAGCGAGACACGTGAAGAAAAGGCTGCGCGGCTCCTACAGCAGTGCCAGGGCAAGGCCGACGCACGCGCCGCTCAGAAGGCGAGCAGCGATGGAAATGCATGCGTCGCCGGAGGCTGAGATGGCGCGCTCCTGAAAAATGTTAATTTGAAACGCTAAAGCAAGACGCACTGGCCAGCCCAATTTTGTGTCGCTGAGCGGGCACGCTTGCCGCACAGCGTAAGCTGAATGGTGGCGCGAGAGCCGCCTGCCGAGTCATCAACCAGCGTGGCAAGGCTCTTGTTGTTGGTGCTGGGTTCGAGGGAGTGACGATCATGCCAACGTTTTCGATGACTTTGCGCGTGGGCATCGCTGCAATGGTCGAGGAGATATTGATCTCCGGAATGGTGCAGTTCGTCGGCGACCGAACGGACGATGGTGTCGTTGTACAATCGGATGTCAAAAGGGGTCGAATATACGACCGAAATCGTCGCGCTGGCACGGTATTTGGAGTCGCGCAGCCTCATCCTTCGACGTCTCTCTTGGGCATCAAGCCGAGCACCCTCCTCCTCAACGCCGACTGCCACACCAAGCTCTGCGACTTTGGCCTTTGCCGGTCCGTGTCTGAAATTGGCCCCAACCCCGTGCTCACTGTCTATGTTGCGACGCGCTGGTACCGCGCGCCCGAGATCCTCTTGGGCTCGACGCGCTACACGCGTCGACAAGTGGGCCGTGGGCTGCATCGTCCCACAAAGCTCGGGCGACATATTCCCACACATCTGACAAGACTCCAGATGTCTTACGACCACAAGCTCGTGACGGCCGACTTCAAGATATTCCAGGCGCTCGGCCAGAAGGTCCAAGCGACAACGTCCAGGTGCACCGGATACAAGCGCCCCACGTCCAAGTTTCGCCTCGAGGACCAGCACGGCCACATCATCATGGATACGAAGGAGACAGCCAAGCATGTGACCGCTCACTTCCAGGCCCAGTTCGCCAGCTCGACCAACGCCACCGTACAGCCCGACACGACTGCCCGACCGCTCGACCAGCCCATTACGCCCACCGAACTCGACGACGCGATCAAGAAGCTCCGCAACAACCGCGCCTGCGGCCCAGACACCATGCCTGCCGAAGTCCTCAAGACCGCCGCCGACTTCATCGCTGCGCCCCTGGCACAGCTGCTCAACGACGGTTTTACCAAAGGACAGCCGATTCAGCTCGGCGACGGGACGCTGATCTGCCTGCCCAAGCCCAACAAGCCCCAAGGCGTGTGCTCGAGCCTCCGCCCGATCGTTTTGCTCAACTGCATCCGCAAAGCCGTCTCTGTGATGGTGCTCAAGCGGATCCAGCCGAAGCTCGACAAGCAGATTGGCACGTATCAGAGCGGCTTTCGTCCTGGACGCAGCACGGCCGACGTCGTTTGGTCGCACAAGTGGCGCATCGCCCGCATCCGCCAGTACGAAGAGCAGTTCTCTATCCTAGGTATCGACTTTTCACGCGCGTTCGACACGATCGACCGCGCGAAGCTCCTCGCGGTGCTTCGAGGCTTTCTCGACGATGATGAAGTGCG